CACCATGATAACTCGACCTTGGTGAGGTGTTCCTATAATGGATGGAAGTCTGGGGAAAATCAAGCAAATAATGATCCTGTCTGTTACTGCCTTTTGCTTTTCCATGACTCCTTATTTTTGGCTCATGATACAAAGTCAGAGTACAGGATCTGCAAAATAAGGGTCAAAGGTCTATTTTCAGTTCAGTATTTTTCACATACAAATATTTCTTCATTATAGCAACAAGTCAGATTTTAGGAGCCCTACTTTTTATACTTTTTTCTGGAACATAACAGAAACTTTGTAGTCATTTTTCTCAGTTTCACACTCTGGCAAGTTAAGGTCTTTTGCCTTCATAGGACAGCATACACTGTATTTATAAATGGATATAGCTAACGCAATAGCCGCCATGCTCTAAATATTAAATGAGTATGCGGGTGCCTCCGGCTCCATTGACTCGAGTTGACTTTAAGATTGAAAAACTGTCACCTCTTTCTCTGTAACTGCTGCAATGAGCTTACCTGACCAGCCAGAACCACATGCTTTAAAAAAAACAGGTGGATCTGAAGCCATATCCTGGCCCCCTGATTTCAGAGGGTGTGATTGACAGGTAGATAATCAGAGAGACACATGCTCTGTTCCCATCAAAAACAAACACAGCTGTTTACACACAAAAGGACTGAGAAACTATTAATTATTTCAGGTAAAAGAAGTTATACGTTTTGTTCTGAAGGTTACAAGAATTTTTTAGAGGAGATGTCTTCTGCATTTAAGAGACATGTGACACAAATTAGTGGCTGTGGTTGGATTGTCTCAGGTTTGGATGGAGGATTTTCACTCTTCTGGTTTTGAACAGAATGTAGAAGGGACTGGTCTTAAAGTGTTCATAATGTTTAAAATGACATAGCAGATAATGATGATGTGTATAGACGGTGTAGGATGCTCTATGCTCAGGCAAATACTCTTAAGTTTGGTTCTTATACAAATGATGTAAAGTTGTTATTGTTTAAATCATATTGTACACAGTTGTACACAGCCCACCTCTGTATTAAAGCAGAACTAGGTAACTTCAGCAGTAGTGCTCCCCCAACAGGTCACTTGTGAAAATGCAGTGTCGTAAATATCTTCCCACCTCCCACAGCACAATTACAGAAGTGACCCCGACGTGACACTTTGATCACACACAAATGTGTGATCCTGTTTGATGCTGGCGTGATGTTGGCCATAGTCATATATCACATCAGGGCTAAATTTCTAAATTGCACTTGTTTTTGCTCACTGACAACACAAGCTGTACGTATCCTACCTGCAGATGAGACATGAGCTGCTCAAATCAAAGGATTTATACAAATATGTGTCAGTCTAATGGTTCAGCTTCATAGCTACACTGAAAAACGGAGCACGCTAAGAATAGCATCTACGAGATAACTGCATACTAAAGTTTACAATTACTGAAGTTACATAACTCTAACAGTGATACGAGCAATGCATATGAAACTTATGTGTTCAATAACAATATCTCCAGATCTGCATCACTCCCTCTCTTTCTTTGAGCTCTGTTATTCCTCAAACACCTTCCCGAGATTCACTCCGTGTGAGCTCGGGCACTGTCCTATTCATGTTTTCTTCCATGCATCCTCGGACAAAGGCTTCCACTGTCTTTCAGCTGGTTGTGCCATGGCTAACACCTCAGAAATAAACACTAAATATTTATTCTTCTAGTGATCTGTGAGAAGCGCCAGTAAGGGGTGTGTTGCTAGCTCGGTTACCTGTATGTTGAAGTGCCGTAAAGCAATTTGGCTCTCACGAGAACAAGAACAGAGCCCTGAGAGCTGCCACCGGCAACTGTTTTTTCCACCCAGAGACAGCTGGGGGCACCAGTATACCCTTCAAACACCCTAAGATGTCATATGGAACCATCAGAGGGTCTTTGAAAGACATTAATTAAGGTAAAAATATTACTTAGTTCTGCTTTAATTACAAAAAAGCCAGTTTGCAAAGGCTGCAGGTGGTCTACAATGATGCTTTGTGGGTGCTTTCGAAGAGGCCATGATGGATGAGTGTTTTTTACTGCATGAATGAACACTCTGCAAGTTGCACTAAGAATTTTAATGTACACTTTTATTTGCAAGCTGAACAAATCGGACAATGAAATAATAATGTCGCTCACAAATATGAGATTCAGTGCAATAAGATATCAGTCCAATATGTGGAGACACTGGTATGGTTGTCTTTTAAAAACATAAATGTTTATTGTTTGGTTTTGTCACTGTCCTTGTTTGTTTTAAAAATGGACCATGAGTCCGGAATAAAGATGATGAAGATGATATTAGTCTGCTCTGCATGATCCTGGTGTATTATTTCACTATTTTATCCACTAATAAATTCCTGTTCCTAATAACTCAGCTCTAAATTCGCTCCAATCGTGAGCTTCATTAGACTGGAGCCGAACGCTATGGGTGATGTCACACTCCTTTACTCCACTTCATACAGTTTATGGCTGGGACCCCCCTGTGCTAGTCCCCTAATGCTAATTGTACATTGTGATATGAGTCAGCGTCAGCCCACAAGCCGCTCACCCACCTATCAGTATGGACCACACTATAATAGCCTATTATGCCCTGTTTACGCAGCCATGAAGTGTTTACATGGACCAAACAATTATTAATGCTTCAAGTATGACTCAAACGCAGTAAACACAACTTACATTGATACTCGGCAGCTGATGTCAACAACACTCTCTGGGGACATGACACTAACTGGAGGATCTGCTCAGTCTCAAGCTCTGTTACTCAATTTAGACTTTAATCTGTGCTTTATTTTACACAATCTGAACATAAACTGACTTAATTGAAACTACAACAGGTGAGGTGATTTTCTACTGTTAAACAAGTCAGAAATTTCAATTCATTTCAAAAAATTAGTTTTCAACTTTCCATATGAACATTATGAAAAATTGAATTTATGTTCTCACTCTCAGTTTTCTATCAATCTTCTTTAGGGAGATGAAGTTTCCTAGCTTCCTTGCCCCTTGTGGTTAGAGAGGGAAGAGAGTTCAGCATCCTAACAGCCTTGTGGATAAAGCTATTGTTGTTGCATCGCTCACAATTATGATGACTTTGTGGGTGAGGCGGGTGGTGTATATGTCTTGCAGGGAAGGGATTTTTGCACCTGGATTTTTGCATTGCAGGGTTCTCCTGTTGTGGTCAGTGCAGCTTCAGTGATGCAGCTGGAAAGAATGCTCTCAGTGGTTCCTCTGTAGAATGTGGTCATGATGGGTGGTGAGGCACTTGGCTGCTTGAGTTTTTCACTGGAAGTAGAGGCGGTGCTGGGCTTTCTTCACCAGTGATTCAGTATCGGTGGTCCAGGCGAGGTTCTTACTGATGTCCACTCCCAAGGCTTCATCACATAACATTACAGCTACAGCTAGAGTTACCATCAGTTTTTTTCTATTAGTCACTTTCACCTTTTTGTGAAAAACAGGACCTAGCAACTAAACAGGACCATGAACATTCGTACTGATCACAGGCTCTTGAAACTGTGCAGTTTAAATCCATTTTGTACTTTCTTGACTTTTCAGAACTTAGTTTTCTGCTGAACATGCCACCATAAAAATCCAAGTAGAGCACCCCCAAAGCGATGTCACTGCCAAGTATCAATCAGAGTTTTGACTTTTCCTCCATATGCTATTGCAAACTGCTCTTTTCAGAGTACATAAAATTGTTTGTTTCTCCACTTGAAGCTTGGCATAATCAGAATTCATGGACCTCTTCTCTGGTAATTTACACTGAGTGGGACTGTGAGGGCTGATTCACTCTGTTTTTCCTCATCAGCGTCATACGAATGCTTTGATTTGAGTGCAAGGACATGTTTTTTTTTTTTGCATAAGACTCATACTCTGCAGGAGCAAACACAATTATCTGTCTTTTCTTTCTATCTTGTGAGGTGTGAGAAGCTAATTTAAAGGTGCACTACGTAACTTTTCTGGAATGCCATCTTGTCTTATTATAATGTTATTGTTTGACCAGAATGTTCCACAATATGGCATTGAACTTACCTGTCTCACATTTATAAAGTTTGTGTTTTTAACTATTTAACTAGTGTTTTTAAAATTTTGAAAATGTATTTTTATGGCAACAATTTCCACAAATCTGACCAATAAGTTGGCATGGGGACTCAACCAGCTGGTCTCCGTGGAAATACTGTAGATAAGTTGCCATACCATGGGGTAGATTCCAAGTAAGGCAATTAAATCTCCATGGAGACAAGCAGGTGGCGGACCCTACACCAGAAAAGTTCCATAGTGCACATTTAATCACCAATAACCACTTTACAGCCCAAATTATGCAGAAGACTAGTTTGGTGAAATAATTCATCCTGCAAAATTTTGACATTTTCCATCCTCTCTAATATGGGCTTTAGTGATTTGACATTTGTAAACAAGACTGCTCTTTTGAACTGTTTCTTCATGTGAACGTTGGAACCAGATCTCATTTTTTAAAGGAACCAAATCATTTTCTTTCCAGTTTTTATGCATTTTCATACATATTAATGCTGAACCAACACAAGTGAGAGCTTTGTGCAGAAAAAACATATCTGGCATCATGATAACCGTTTTATAATTGTGATTGTAATGCGATATTGTATTTAGATTATGCATAATTTCAAACACACTGCCATTCTCACTTAGAGCCATTTTGATTAATTCCCTCTGTGATTAATTTGTTGTTAAAATCATTATTTTCTGTCAAATAAGTAATAAAGAGACAGTCTTTTGGACGGCTCTTTGAAATGGTTAATAGTAATGGTGGCTCTTTGAAATAAAGATTCGGATCTCATAAAATTTGAAAATACACTGTAGATTTTAACAATAATAATAATTTAGACGTAGGCTTTGAAGAAAATTTATTTATTACCACGTAGAGTAAAATCCCAAATATGAGGGGAAAAAAGCAACAAAAAATAAAAAATAAAATAAAAAATAAAAAATAAACAAAAACGGAAGTACGTACTGCTTAGCGGCACTGCGTCACTTCCTTTCACACCGGCTCTCTGTCCGGGCTTTGCGCCGTGTCCGGACCACAGGAATAAAAACTCCAAAAAGGCACCACACAACTCACAGTAAGACTCTACATTTTGTGCGATGAAAGAGTAGATAGTACCCTCTTTTTGCACCGCATGAAACTGAAAGATTGTTCGTAAATTGTGGAATCATTCTCTCTGCCGCCCTGTTAGCTTAGCATCGTTAGCACGGCCACCTGGCAGCATGACTAGCACAGAGACTTAGCCGCTTTGCTAACAGCTGGATAAAATCATCAGAACAGTTACACAATATAAACCCCCAGCTTTATTCAGAGAGGAGAGTGGAGCCATCATGGTTACTTAATTTCAATTATTTTTACTACACGATGTCTACGTTGATTTGCGTTTTGCCTTTAGTAGTAGTTCCCTAAATTGCAGCCATTCATCAGGGTCTCATTTGTACAGACGCGTTTCTTCATGTTAGTTTAGTGATGACTCCATATTGTGGTAGCCTTAATGTTATTAGAGATTATGACAGTCTTCTCTACTGCCACAACTGTTAGTGCATTAACGCTACTGTTACACTTGTCATGTAAAAATGTCAAAATATAAAATTTTTGACAAGGCAGGTTTATTTGTGCACAATTCGTGCACAAAATAATTCTTAGTTTACAGAATAAGAAAGATATTAGAATCACAATATAAACAAATCAAAACATAAATAATCATAATACAATTAACACTGAAAGAGATAAAAACCTTTCTGTCATATGCACACAGTTAAACATCCATTTTGAGCCTGGATTTAAACATTGTTGTTAACACTTTTAGTGAATTTTAGATAATTATTGTTAGAAGGAACATCATGATTCAATGATTATGGACACTATGGCTGTGAAATGTAATGTTCTTTCTTCCCCCTTGCCTTGTCTTACATCCCTCAAGTATGTGACCATCTTAGTTATGAAAAAGAAAACTTTCTGTAGGATTTAATGTGGCATAAGCAGCCTAATAGAAAAGGACTATTTTTCTGTCTGGAATAATCTTGACCTCCCTACTTCATTGTATAGTTTGCGTCGTGCTTCCAGTTAGTAGAAAAATAATTGAGTTTCTCGTGTACATTTGGGTCTATGATGACTAGCCCACTGCGCAAGCTGATCAGAGCATGTTATAATGTGCTGCTGCTGAAGAGATCAGTGCTGCTTTTAGGCTGAGGCCCTCTGCATATAACATTCAAATGTATTAACATTCATTCATCTTTAGAGTTACTTCATTTCACCTGTAACTGTGCAGGTCATGGCGAAGTTCCACGCCCCTGTCATCCAGGACAACCCGTCTGGATGGGGTCCCTGCGCCGTCCCAGAAAAGTTCAAGGACATGCCCTATCAGCCCTTCAGCAAAGGAGACCGTCTGGGCAAGGTTTGTATCAGTTTCATTACCTCTGAATGATTCTCAGAAATCTCAAACTTGTTTTAACTGTTCTGTTGCCCTCTGTTGGTCAGGTGGCTGATTGGACTGGAGCAACCTATCAGGACAAAAGATACACAAGTGAGATGCATCCATTTGTTGTTTAGTTTCTTTTTAAAAAAAATGAAAGCAATTATTAGTTGTCATAGCTAAAGTGAAGGGAAACTACTACAGTAGTTTGTAGAGTTGAATCACAGGTTAAAGATGTTAAAGACTTTTGTTCTTGTGTTCAGATAAGTACTCCTCTCAGTTTGGAGGAGGGAGCCAGTACGCTTATTTCCATGAAGAGGATGAGACGAGCTTCCAACTGGTGGACACTGCAAAGACGCAGAAGACTGCCTACCAGAGGAACCGCATGAGATTTGCCCAGGTATGTTATGTTTATATTTTAGACTTTAACTTAAAAATGATTGGACTGAGGTCTGAGGTTTGATAAGCATAAAACATTTTCATAAGGACAATGTATTCTGTCCTTTGGGATGTAAAATGTATTGACCGTTAAACCGTGAAATTGAAGATGTACCTGACTGGTGCAGCCAGGTCATTGTCTCAACACCACAAATGTTATGTTTTACTGTATGCAGCCTCATGTATTTTAGCTTGTCAGTATGTGTGTTTTGTGTGTTTGTGTGCATGTTTGTGTGCATGTATGTGGGTGAGACTGTTCATGTGACTGTCTGTGTTGTTTGGTTGTGTGGGGTCAAGCAGTTGTGGGGGTAGTTTAATTGGGTGGAAGTGAAGGTGGGATTGTTTTAATGACTCTAAAGCATCTTTAGTTACATTTTATTTGTATGAAAAGGGCCTTACAAATAAAGTTTGATTGATTTGAATTAAAGGCCATGGAGTGGCATACAGTATATTTAATTTATTTCCTGGGTTGTCTTAACCTTGAAATTTAAACTTTCACAGAGAAACCTGCGTCGTGACAAGGACCGGAGGAACCTCACTCCGTTCAACATGCAGACGCTGCCTAAGAGTGCCAAGCAGAAAGAGAGGTGAACATATCTGTAACATGAGGAATGGTGAAGATTTTCCATTAGAAATTTTGAAAGAAAAACAATTGTGTGTCTTCAGGGATCGGATGCGACTCCAGAAGAAGTTTCAGAAGCAGTTTGGTGTTCGTCAAAAATGGGACCAGAAATCCCAGGTATGTTATGTGTACATTAAGGTTGTCAAAAGTATCAAAAATCAGATGCTCACAGAACCAGTATCGAAAAGTAACTGAAAAATCGGGTAAGTGACAACATTTTACCATCTTGAACAGTTATAGAGACATTTTGATCTCAGAACCACTGAAAATTACATTCTATTGTCTGCTTTCCCCCATCATCGTTGTTTTGTGAAAAATTGGAAATGAGTACCAAGCCCCTTCCTTAGAATTGACATGGAGAAATACAAATGAAATTTTTGTATTGTGACAACACTAGTTTACACTATAGTTACTTCAATGTATCACTGTAAAGTATTAATTTGCAAAGACCATGACTTTGGCCGTACCGGCTTGTCAAAGTCGTCAGATTTCAGAAGTAAGCAGGGCCGGGCCTGGTTAGTACTTGGATGGGAGACAGAGAATTCCAGGTGCCACAGTGGGGCGCCAGTCGCAAAAACTGTCATTGTGTCCTTAGGCAAGACACTTCACCCACATTGCCTAGTATGAAAGTGGTGTGTGCGTGAGTGATGGTGGTGGTCGGAGGGGCTGATGGCACAGATTGCCAGCCTCGCCTCTGTCAGTCTGCCCCAGGGCAGCTGTGGCTACAGTAGTTTACCATCACTGAGTGTTGAGTGAATGAATAATGAACTGTAAAGTGCTTTGAGTATCTTGAAAGGCACTTTATAAATGTAATGATTATTAATTAATTAAAAGAAACTTGTCATAAAGAAGTAAATCTGAGCTTCCATTTGGACTTTCTTATAACAAAATTGTAGCTATTCACTTGCATCTCATTTTGTGCTAATGTTAATATTGGGTCAGTGATGACTAGCCCACTGCGCAAGCTGATCAGTGCATGTTACGGTTATGTGCTGCTGGAGATGCCAGTGCTGCTTTTTAGGCTGAGACCCTCTATACACATAAAATAGTACCTTAACACTATTGTTTGATAAATAAAGTTGATTTGTTTGTATTAGCTAAAATGATTAAAATATGGATAGTTTGTGCCACCATAGTCTCAGTGTAAACCTGTGAGGAAACAATGGCTCAGTTTTGTTCCTTGCACCGTCTGCTTAGGCTCAGCTGAAGCCGAGGGACTCCTCTGTGGAGGTGAGGAGCGACTGGGAGGTCAAAGAGGAGATGGACTTCCCCCGACTGATGAAAATGAGATACATGGAGGTGGCTGACCCCGTGGACATGTGAGTTTGACTCAAGTGCTGACTACTATGAGGTTTTCATGCTAATTATTTAAGTTAAAGATTGATGTTTCCCATGCTTTGCATTAAAAGGCCTAAATTCCTGTATTCTCTGATCTATGTTACAGTGTTGTTTCCTCATCACAAACATACCCGGAGTTTTGTTTTGTTTCATTCACACGTTTAAACACAAACTTGCATATTTTGGCTGAAACCTCTCAAACCTTCCCTAGAATCTTTTGAACAATTTCAGCCCTGAAATTGCCTACCTCTCCTGATCCAAAAATAAAGCACAGCTGATAAGTTGAAAACTACCACTATATGACATCACAAGATGAAACAACATTTTGAACTTTGGAGATAGGGACAGACTAAAGGGTTACTCAAACATGTGTGAATGAAACAAAACACAACTCCAGGTATGCATTTGCGGAGGTAACAACGTTATAACATGTCTTAAAACTCACAAGAATCCAATTTGTGTAATATAAGACCTTTTTAGTAAGTAGTAAATATAAGAAATATTTCCAACCAGTGCTATTATTCCTTCAATATTAAACAAAGTGTATAGTTAAAATGTAAAGTTAAGTTCTTCCTTCTCTGCAGTGAGTGCTGTGGAGCTCTGGAGTACTATGACAAGGCATTTGACCGAATCACAACCCGAAACGAGAAGCAGCTCAAAAGCATCAAGAGGATTTTCCACACGGTCACCACCACAGATGACCCTGTCATCCGCAAGGTCTGCATTTAGACTAATCTGTGGATGTTTGTTATTTTAAAAGAAAGATGAATTGCTGGATTTCAGATGACATCACAGCATTCTATAGGCCAATATTATTTACTACAGGTGGGGGCAGGTAAAAAGATTATTGTTCAACTGCAGATATTTGAGGCATTTAGCATGGTTTTGGGTCTAGCCGGTAATAGAAATAATCAGGTTTCATATTTGGGAATTTACCTTTCTGATGTTTCATGGCAAATATCAGATAGGCCCACCCATCTGTATTAAATATTATAATCCTATAGAATGTTATTATGTCATCTAAACCAAGCAATACCAATGTTTTTTTGAGATCCAACTCTTATTGGTGGAGACAGAGTTTCCTATTGATAACATGTACTTTCCTATAAAATATCTAAGAGGTAAATTCACAAATGTTGAAACTGATCATTTCTATTGGTGACAAGACCTTCAAACTCACTGTATATCAACAGAAATCTGCTTTTTAACAAAATTAAATTTAGCTCTCATTTGTTGCATTCTTGTGGACCAAACCTCATGTCTTATCTCATCTTGTGGAAGTCCTGTGCCACCTGTAGGACACAAATCATAGGCAATTACAGACAAACACAAGTACAGTGCAGGCCAGCAGGGGGCAGCAAGCGCAGGTATAATTAATCGGTATTCACATGTCTGGTTAATTTTTGTTGCCTTATTTCTAGCTAAAAGATTGAGTTATGAATCATTCTTAGCTTCTCTGTATGCCTGAGTAACTGAGTGAGTCACAGAATGTAGATTTTATATAGAACTAAAAAATGATTCATTTATGAAACCCAATGTGAACTATTCACTGTAAAAAGATATACAAATATTCATCAGTTGAACAGAAATAGATGAGGAACTTGAAAAGGTGCATTGCTCAGTGCCTTTGTCATCAGGTTCTGACTTTTATAATTTGTTTTATTCTAAAGAATTGATCACTTATTTAGATTTTATTTGATCTTATGAAACAAATATCATTTAAAGGTGCATTGTGTAACTTTTCTGGTGGACGATCCGTCAAAAGCTTTTCTCCATAGAGATGTTAGTGCTTTGTCTGTAGTGTTTCACAGTATAGCAATAAACCTTTCCTTCATTGTGGAAACCAGACCAGAGCAAGTAACAAATCAGATCTCTGGAGAGGCAACCCCACTCACAGTCAAAATGCCAGTTTTTCTAGGTATATGTGAGTGATAAAACCATGAATAAATGTAAGGTAGAGCTGTTTAATGTCATACTGTGGAACATTCCAAGCATATTGATTTCCTGAACAAAAACAAGACAGGCTTTCAATAATTGCCATAATAAGTGTAATTTCTTCTTAGTTCAGCTCCAAATCACATGCTTTTCCTGACAGAGAATCAGCTGTAGACTCCTTCATTAAAAGCCCTCAGCTAATCGTTCACAATTAGAGATGTCTTGATAGTCTTGATTAAAACAGGATTAATTTGCATAGCCCTGATTTTATTTTGTTTTGCAGTTGGCCAAGACTCAAGGCAATGTGTTTGCCACTGACGCCATTTTGGCCACTCTGATGTGCTGCACGCGCTCAGTCAACTCCTGGGACATCATCGTCCAGAGAGTTGGAAACAAGCTGTTCTTTGATAAGAGGGACAACTCCGACTTTGGTGAGACTTGAGTTTATTATATTAGTGTATTATTCAGTATTAAGGACCCTTTATTACATAAAATTGACTCTTGTGAGCCTTAAGCCATGTTATAACCTAGTTACCTCCTCAAAAACATACCAGGAGCTATGTTTTATTTCATTCACACATGCCAAAAGTGTTTTTAGAGCATTTAAAAGTTCTTATTTTTCTCATTCAGTGACAAACAAAATAGTTTATAGTTTTACAGGAAGTGCTCCAATGTCCATAGACCTTCACTAAAATAATTTGGATGATTTCAGCCCTGCAATTGCCAATCTCTACTGAACAAAAGGTAAAATGTAGCAGCTAACATGAAAAGTACCACTATATGACATCAGAAGGTGGAACAGAGAATTTTGAGCTTTGGAAATGTACACAGAATAATAATAAAGGCTTACTCAAACATAATATATGATCTTTAAACTGAATGAAATAATTACTTGAGTATTATAAGTTTTGGTAGACCCTGCATGAACACCCATGAAGTTCATAGGTGAAAAAAGACCTTTTCATAGCACTCAAGCTTTGAATACAAAGTAATGCAGTATTACTCAAGCATCACTTGAACTACAACAGCAGTGATCTCTTAACTCAGCAGCTGGTTGCAAAAATTTTTAGCCCTGTCTAAGTGCTTCCATAATCCATACATTTACATAAAACACGAAATATAGCTACACAGGTGTTCAAAAGCATGTTTATGGATGTGCATTTATGTACCTTTTCCCCCCTCGTATGCTATCTCTGACATCATGTCCATTACTGCTGTCTGTGAAATTGCCTGCACTATAACTGTTATTTATTTTGGTTGACGGTCCCCTATATATTAGTAAACTAACGATGAAATATAAGCTAAAGTATTCTTAATATGTGTTAACTTTTCCATGTTCTATAAACAAAAACAGATTAAAAAGGCACATAAATGAACAGCAGTAACTGTAATCTAACTTTTCGGTGGGGGTCTGTCACCTTCTTGTTTCTATGGACATATTGCTCTACTTTGATTGTTCCACGATATGACATCAAACAGGTCTATTTTATATTAAATTGCAGGTGGTTTCATTGCTCAAAAATGCCTAGAAAAACAGGCATACTGACTGTGAACAGGGTCACCTCTCCACAGATCTGACCTATAACTTGATCTGGTTTGGTCTCCATGAAGATAGAAAGGTTTAATACCATACTGTGAAACATTTAAGACAAAGCAATTTTCTCCATGGAGAAAATGAGGTGACCTTTAATAAGTTGTTGCTTGTTTGAGGACAGCCGTATTCTTGGCATCGTCATTTGTAAACAGGGTTTAGTATTCATAAGTGACTTAACTTTAGCCTAAAGCCCTTTGGTCATAGTTTTAGGTGAAATGTTTGTAACAGTCTATTAATAAGTACATGACCTTTAGAAAATAAACTATTACTACTACTACTAAACATTTACAGCACACACTTGGACTATTAGACAGTCGCAGACATATGGTCCATCATTCATGTAAGTAGGCCTGTCATTGTAATTATTAAATCGACTTAACTTTCTGTATATGATAGAAAAAACAATAACTTTTCAGGCTCAATAAATATCCTATGGAACTTTTCTTTGAACTAGCAAAGAACTGTCTTTTTGTAGTATTAAGACTATTTGATTCATTATACCATTAAAGTTTCATTATGGAACTTTTATGGAGAGGTCATTGCCAGGAATGTTCAACAGTATGGGACTGTCATTAGCTTTATTTAGCTCCATGGAAACATGCAGGTGATGCAAGCAGACAGGTTTTAGATCAGATCTGTGGAGAGGAGAGCCCACTCTCAGTAAGAATTCATGATTTTCTATATTTTTGAGCTATAAAAGATATATAAGTGAAACATTCTAGGCAAAGATTTTTTTTTCCTATGCTCTCTCAGCTCATCCTCCTGTTTATTGTGTTATGTTATTCCAGACTTGTTGACTGTGAGTGAGACTGCCAATGAACCGCCCCAGGACGAGGGAAACTCCTTCAACTCTCCACGAAATCTGGCCATGGAAGCGACCTACATTAACCACAACTTCAGCCAGCAGTGTCTACGCATGGTCAGAATAAAGGAACACATTATGCTATTTTCTGATATATGTTATTATAATGTTGTTTTCTCATCAAAAACAAACCTGGAGTTGTGTTTTGTTTCATTCACACGTTGAACACACACATCCTGCATATTTAGGCTATGTTCTTCTCTCGAACAAAAAATACCTTGTGATGTCATGTGGTAATACAGTAAACACCTAGAATCCTCGCTAGAATCACTGGGATGATTTCAGGCCTGGATTTGAAATCTCTACTGAATAAAATTTGAAAGGTAACATTTAACCCGAAAAACTACCTTTACATGACATAACAAGTTGGAACAGAGCATTTGAGATGTAGACAGACTAATAATAAAGTGTTACTCAAACATGTGAATGAAACAAAACACAACTCCAGGTCTGTTTTTAGGCAACCTCATTGTAACATGGCTTAACTCTTTCCCCCCTGGACGCCTACTAGGAACAACCTACATATGTTACTAGTTCTACCCATAGAGCATAATTGCATAAAAGAAAACAGACTTCCACGAGTGATTATAAATGATTTTTACACTCATGAACGTAATTGTAACACAGACATATTTGTATCTCTGGAAACCTTAGACTCTGAACTATTCATTTATGGATGTTTAAATGTGATTCAACTCATTTACAGGTGTATAACAGCTCACTGAAAATGAGAGTTTACCTGGTCAGGTGCAAACTCGAAAACAAAAAACTACATTCAGCATCTGATATCTGCATGTTCTGAGTACTATATTAATAAAAAAAAATATATATATATATACTTTGTCAAAGTATTTAAACAGATTCATATCACCAGATACAGTATAGCCAAGTGTACACCTGTTTTTACCTGTTGTACACCTGTGTGCACCCAATTCATTTTTTTCCATTTAACTTATTCAACTCATTTAACTTATTCAACTTATTTTATTTATTCAACTAATTTAGCTTATTATAATATAATAATAAAACTCTTCCTCGTCAGTGGGTGTTCAGTATTTGTCATCTTGGCTATTTTCTCGTGCGCAGAGCTCCGCATAAGCGTTTTTTCTGTAGCGATTCTGTTATACATCGCATCTTGGAAAAAAAGACTGAAATATTTTAAAGGACTGGCCTGGGCAACATCCAGATTTCAGGGCAATTTTGGTTCATAATCGAGTATAAAGCTCAGATAATATCTTCGGACATCGCAGGACTCCACACAGACGCATCAGCGGCATTCTCATCTTCTCCCCGAAAGTCCGTCGCTATCACTGTTTTCCACTTTATAATCAACTTCAACATCATCACTTTGAAATCTATAAAAGTCACTTTCTCTAAACTTATCCATAAAATACGTCCGCTCCTCATTATTTCTAAAACTGTGCGCCACAGCGCCGTGATCTTTCCATTGCACGTGTTTCATGTTGTGTTTTTTCCGGAAGCTACCATCGTCACTATTTCGATTAATTTCGGAAAAAAACGGCGAAAACATATCCTTGAATCCTATTGGTCAGTCTAGTGTGGGTTGTAGTGGCCCCCACCGATCACAGTCTCTGTTTAAATGTGAAAAACCGAGCCATTTCTAAAGGTCGCCAAATCACGTCTTTAGTGATACGGCGGAGGTGTCAAAAGTCGTCATTAAGGGTTCGGGGGGTCGTCAAATGTCGTCTTCATAGGGGAAAGAGTTAATGCTAAAGTTGTCTACCCTTTTTATCACAATACATGATATTGTTTATTGTCCCATCCCAATTACACTGATTATTGCACCAAAAGTTTTCTCATTTGTTTCCGTTTTATTATTTTTAGGGAGGTGAACGCTACAAGTTCCCAAACTCTAATCCTTTTGTAGAAGAGGATATGGACAAGAGTGAGGTGGCATCTGTTGCGTACAGGTAAGAAATAATGTATATGCAATGTAAATAAAAAAAACACAGAAACTTAAAGGTGCACTGTAACTTTTCTGGTGAATGGTGTAGATGTTGTTGCTTTGCCTGGTATGTTTCATTGTATGGTACTAAATAGGGTTACGATGGTAGTTTTCTCATAATCAATAAGGGGGGAAAAAACAATTCAGTACATTAGAGGCCATGCAGGTGCCTCTTGCACTTTGATTCTGCAGAAATCAGTGATGTTTTCCAGCCCCTTGTAATGTTGTCCTCTTTCCCAATATGGATAGACCGTGTGTGTGACCAAGTATTGAAAAAGTGTATACTCTGGATCGCAGGCAACTGTACTTTAATAAATACAAGAAAATACAAGACGTTTTTTAAAATGCCATACTTTGAAATGTTCGATGCAAAGCAGTAAGCTCTCCATGGAGACAAGCAGGTGGCAAACCCTCACCTGAAAAGTTAAATATAAAAAATGATCTTGGAGTTTAAAAAAAACATGACCTAAGGACTGAAATACAACATTGGAAACGAAGAACTTCTGTGTTAGAAAAGTTCACAAACATACTATAGTTCTCATTATTTAACCTTAAACGAGTTACCTGTAGTCTCCACGTCTTATGTAACCAATAAGTCATTATAAAGTAAATTTTCAGGGGAAAGAGAAAAAAAAAGAAAAGAAAAGTGTAGCCTAAGGATGGTTCTTATTGCAAAGGAACAAAGAAGCTCTATAATTCAGCAGCTGCAAATACAAAAGAGTGACTCAAAAAACCCAGTAATTGGTGCTCATTATTCAACTTGAAGCCAGAAACTCGTAAGTCGTGTGTTTAGAGGTATCGTTCTGCTGAGATTTAAATGGGGCTTAAAGGGCCTATTTTATGCTACTTACTCATCTATGTTATTATGTTTCCTCATCACAAACATACCTCGAGTTGTGTTTTGTTTCAATCTTATATTAACACACGCAAAATGCATATTTAGGCTGAGTTCTTCTCTCAAGCAGAAAACACTCTGTTCAACCTGGTGATGTCATGTGGTGAAACCAGAAGTGCTCTGCTGTGTTTTTAAACTCCATACACTTTCACTAGAATCATTTGGACGATTTCAGCCCTGGAATTGCCAATTTCTGTTGAAGTAAAGGTAAAAGGAGCTGTTAATTAAAACTACCACTACATGACATCACAAGGTAGAACAGAGCATTTTGAGCTTCGAGAGTGCAGTCAGACTAATAATAAATAATTCAAACATGTTTGAATGAAACAAAACACAACTCCGGGTAAGTTTTCGATGAAGTACCAACATTAAAACATGATTTAAAGGTCACATGAATCAATTTTGCGTGATACAGAACCTTTGAAAAATTTGCAGAAAAATATTGAATTGCATTTTTTTTCTGACAAGCATTTCAATTGCAATTAGCTTAAATAATGGAATTCTGTTCAAATTAGCTTTTTTTTTTTAAAAGCAGAATAAAACTGGATAGTTTGATGAAAGAAATTAAGGCACTTAAAAAATTGCAGCCTTTGTGGTTTGCTAATTGCGTCCATTCAGCTTTTGATTCACTTGCCCTGGGTTGCAGTGTTTTTTCTCATGTTTTTCCTTATTGTAATCTTCACCAGTAATCACCATATGCAGGCTGTGTACTTAAGTCGGTTGTTCACAATTTGATGCTCTTATTTCTTTGTCGTTCAGATACCGTCACTGGAAGCTGGGAGAGGACATCGATCTGATTGTTCGCTGTGAGCACGATGGAGTGATGACTGGAGCCAACGGAGAGGTGTCCTTCATCAACATCAAGACCCTGAACGAGTGGGACTCCAGGGTAAGAGCTGGCTGCTGAACGATCAGAGTTGGACAATCTGAGTTTTTGGTTGCTGTGTACGAAAAGGGGTGAGGACTACAAAAGTGTTTACTGTGACAACTTAAGCAACAACAAATGCTCTACTGGGGCTCCAGAACATTCATGTAATTATTCTCATATTCCTTACATGAAGCTTGTTTGTCCTCCAGCTAACCTAAAAAACATGCCATTATTAGGATTGGAATGAATAACCCCCTAACCTTAATGTGCCTTTGACAAGTTGGACCACTTATTTCATTAAAACACACTACAATCATTACATGTTTTTGTTAAAAATATTAGCTATTCTTTCCAGTTTGGCAATATTTTAAGGTTTCAAATTGTACTGGTTGTTTAATAGTTGTAAATCATGACTTCACACTAGAGGAATTCCATGTTACCCGGCAATTATCATGTACAGTGAGCCAAACTCCTCTAATGCAGTGTTTCCCTTTTTTTCTGGGGACCCATATTTTAAAAGTCACAGACCTTCATGAATAGACATTATTTGTAAATCACAAAATAAAGGTGGATTTGACCGTTATTGAGCATTAATGAGGATATTTTATTGTTGACTGAGTGATCGTGTCTCTCTGAACAATTAGTATTACTCAAGTTTTAAAAAGTCATTGAAGCAGCAATAAATGGATCCATAAGTCGCCTGTTTGGACATTAAATGTAGCCTATTTCTTTTTCTTTTCAACATTCAATTGAACCAGCAATACTGGAACAAAATAGTCAATGAAATAATTACAAAAAGATTAGAAATTAAAAGATGTCTCAACATTTTAACGTTTCTAATGAGATAGGTGGGCCTGTTTGTTTTTTTTGTAGTGAGTGCTAGTCCAGGGTGCAGGAGGAAAGCACACCAGTAGATCAGGCGACCCCAAAAAAAATCTCTTGTGACCCACCTGAGGGTTGCGACCCAGTCATTGGGAAACAATGGTCTAATGTACACAGAAATTATGATATGACAAATCAAAAAAATATTGATTCTCTATAAAGAATTAATGTTCTTACTATGGTTTTGGCCTAAAGTTCCTGATTTTTACTGGAAAAACAGGACAAGTTTTGCCGTAATGGTAATCCTAACCATGCATGTATTGATTCTCAGACAGCAAAATGCTTTATAATTAGACAGACAATACAGATGGGCCTTATTTAGTCCTCAAGAGCAATTTATATGTGGAAAAAAATCAGGCCTTTAATTCTACTGGATTGTGTGTCTTTTCTTTTAACACTAACCCTGTATTCTGTTCTGGGCAGCATTGTAACGGAGTGGACTGGCGTCAGAAGCTGGACTCTCAGAGAGGAGCTGTTTTGGCCACTGAACTGAAGAACAACAGCTATAAACTGGCCAGATGGACCTGTTGCGCCATGCTCGCTGGCTCCGAGTACCTCAAACTGGGGTGAGCAATCAACCATTTTATACACATTTTTAGTTCAGAATCAGACTGGAGAGAAGGAGACTTTAAAGTGTGACCAAACACCTAAACTGCAGCCGCAGCCACGTTTCAAATACAGCTGCTAAACTGGGCAGTATCTGGGTGACTAACAAAAGAGTTAGTGGGGTAGAGAGCGGGTTCTGGGGTTATCAGAGCAGTGTGATTGGACTAACAGATAGACCATATAAACAAGTCACATGAAGTTCATTGAGGCTGGTAGTTATCAGGATGAATTTGGAGCAGAGTGTCATATTTGGAATTCCAACTGTGAGTATCATAACAACCAAAAAGCCAATCCAGAGTGAGGCTGATTTGGCAGGGAGATGACGCTTAGCAACGCTGTCAAACTTGTTGCTAACACTAGCAGGGTTAACCTCAGATAAGGAAGGTGCCTGATTTGTCTGTTGTTAATGTTCATATCTTGACTTAAGCACAAATAAAAATGCTACACCCCCTATTGAGTGAGCGACAGGTGGGTTTAACCAATCACAGTGAAGCATGACATTTCAAAAGAAGATGATGACTTAAAATACTGCTTAGGGGTAATACAAATATAGGAAGTAGTCATGAATCGTTATAAAATCGAAATTACGATCTGGCTTCAATAAAATCATGATATTTTGTCGTAGTACACACCTAGATCCTGGTAATGACCACAACATTTGTGAGGCTGTCCTGTGCAGTGCAGCCAGTGCCTGCAGCCTCTGCTTTGCCAAGCCATCGTCATAACAGGTTTGCTGCCAGACTAGAGCACTGACCAAAATCTCTTGGCATTTCTCTCCGGTTTTCTTCCCCAATCACACATGGCTCATTAAAACTGATTCCTTGGTTGTGAGCTGAAGTGCTGTTCATCTGCCAGTCTCACAGAGCAGTCAGTGTAACAGTTTGCCTGGCAGCCAGACTGGAGTTTTCTGCATGTTTGTAGAGGATTCTCAGTCTGGTCACCACTCTCTCCTCCGCCTCTCCTCAATCAATCTGAAGGGGAAAAATTCATTATAGACAGCTATTTGGGCTGAACATTTTTCTAAAATTTATAATGGTGCTTTTTCTCACAAGTATTGTGATTAAATTTGTGAGTTATGTTTAAATATTTAAGCATTTCCATTAAAATCTACAAAAAAACTTAAAGGTTCACTATGTAACTTTTTGGTTGGGAGTCTGTCACCTGTTTGTTTCTATGGATATGTCACTGATCTGCCTGGAATGTTCCACAGTTTGACATTAAACAGCTCTACTTTACATTTATTCAATTACAGGTGGTTTTATTGCTCAAAAATACCTACAAAAACAGGCATTCTGACTGAGTGGGGTCAGTTACAATTAATCTGGTCCCCCTAACAGCTATTAACCTTTATCTAAATTAAATAAAGGCCTATAAATATTTAATTAATTTAATTAAATTTTTAAAAACAGATGAAGCATAGTGAGACCTATATAGTAGACACAATCACAATAGGTCTTCTTTAAAGGGCCTCTAACTATTTACATTTCTTCTGGTAAAGATAAATGGCAATAAATCAAAAACCTGCCTTATCTGTTCCTGTATCTGTTCAGGTAGTGAGATTCCATTCAGTGTGCTTTTGGGGGCAGATTTAAACTACAGTTTTATGCAGAATAAGGCAGGAGATTTTTTTTTTGTGGAGGAAAATCTAGTCCTGCAGTTTGCCCATTCCAGTTTCTTTTCAGGTACGTTTCTCGTTACCATGTGAAGGACTCGGCACGCCACGTGATCTTGGGCACGCAACAGTTTAAACCCAATGAGTTCGCCAGCCAGATCAACCTGAGCATGGAGAACGCCTGGGGCATCCTCCGCTGTGTCATTGACATCTGCCGCAAACTGGACGAAGGGAAGTACCTCATCCTCAAGGACCCCAACAAGGTAAGAATACAGCTTACATGTGTTTAAAGGGCCCATATTACACTATTTTCTAATGTTTCTTCATCAAAAACAGACCTGGATTTGTCTTTTGTTTCATTCACACCTGTTTAACGCACAAACCTTGCATATTGAGACTGGGTTCTTCTCTTAAATGGAAAACTGCAAGTACTCTACTGTCTTTTTATACTCCATATACCTTCACTAGGATCATTTCAGCCCTAGAATTGCCTGTTTCTTCTTAACAAATGGTAAAGGGTAGCTGATAACTTGAAAACTAGTACTACATGACATCACAAAGTGCAACAGAACATTATGAGCTTTAGACATGTAGACAGACTAATATTAAAGGATTATTCACACGTATGAATGAAACAAAACACAACTCCAGGTCTGTTTGTGCTACGGGAAATATATCATAAATATCAGATAATAACCTAATATGGTCCTTTTTAAAGCTTCATTGAACAAAATAAAGATATCATTTAGTTTATTAGAATTATACGATTTAAACAACAACAGGCAGCAAATATTGTCTTATGCACTTTACTTTTTATGTTGGGAAAAGCCATATTGCATTTGTTTTAACAAGTCTTCTGTCCATTATTGTTTGATTACAGCAAGTGATCCGCGTCTACAGCCTTCCTGATGGCACCTTCAGCTCGGACGAAGAGGAGGAGGAAGAGGAGGATGAGGAGGACGAGGAGGAAGAAGGTCTGGTGTCATTTAAAATAAGATATAATACTTAAAGGAACTGTGTGTACGATTTTAAACTGAATAAACTTGCCCTTTGTGTCTACAAATAAAAGGTCAAATCCTCAGTTATAGCTTTTATAAAAACAGTGGACATGATAGGTTTTGGTTATAATTTGGTGCTTGAATAATTTGATTAAGTTTGGTGGTTCTTAAGATGATTGACCAGTCAAAAAGCAGAATGAGCCTTTCAGGAGTCTCTCATTTAGGTGATGAACATAGATCAGGAGTCTTTAACCTGTAGCTCTCCACCCCCTTCCAAGTAGCGCACCAATGGATTTCTGAATTACACGTATTGTGCTGAATAAAATTTGAATATTTAAATGCCTATTACCATTGTGCATGTATCAATGAAGAAAATTGAAGCTCACGATTGTAGTGGTTATGGGGTGAATTTGGATCTGAACCCAATATTAGGAACAGGAATTTATTAACAGACAGAACCCCAAAATAAAAAACAGAATCATGTAGAATGGGTTAATACGAACATTTTAAGACCAAAATGACGGGGCAGCAGAGAGAGGGGATGACAATCTTTCTAATGTAAAATGAATTGGAGTCAGTGGAGCCAAAAGCTTCCCCATGAGCACTTCCTGTTATGAGTGTGGTGAAATTGTGTTTGAAATTCTAGTACTATGACAATAATGTCTAATTTGGTGATTTTCAGACAGACAAATTGTTAAGCAAATCTGTGCATAACAATGTGGTAGTATTGAAGAGTAGTTGGTAGTTAGAAAATACTAGCAAGGGGTTATTTGAAGGTTTAGTCCTGGTTTATGGGAAATGCTGAATTTTTTGGTGTAGTACAAATACACCACCCACAGGCCAAACAATGAAATACACACATTTTTGAGTATATCTGTAGTTCAATTACTAATGCTGCATATTTGTATTGTCTCATTTCAGATGAAGAGAACTGAAGAGGAAATAATCCTGACCAAATATGGCCTGTCACAATTGCATACATTCTGGCATAAATAAAGAGATATTGGCCTAAATCTTGTTTGTGTTTTTTTTTAATTATTACTCTATCTCTTCAATTTGTAATTAGTTTGGCTGACTCGACTGTGTTGTATGTGTGTATATAACATATAATAAAACACCACTTTGCCCTTCTTTACCTGTCAGACCTGCTAGTCTTGGATGAACTTCACCTGAAAACCAGGAGAGATGGGTCTTGCCCTGCGGCCTGAAAGCCCGGGCATGGATTGACCAGTACTGTCTTGTCTAATTCCAAGAGGATTATGTCTCTTTTATTACTATCACCTGACTCTGGTAAGCCTATGATGGTATAATACATACATCTCGAGGCAACTTATACCTTCCCTTTCTGTTCTGTTTGTCTCCGCTCTGGGTCTACTCCTCGTGCTCTCCACTCCTTTCTGCTCTCTTCTTCTACCCAGGCCTTTAGAATAGTCTGCCCTTCAGCATTAGGTCAGCCCAAACTCTAAACTTTTAAATCTACACTTAAATCTCACTTTCTTCCACTGGCTTTTAATACAAATTAAGATGTATTTCTGTTTTTATTTTTTGACATTTGGTATTGAGTATTTTTTATTGCCCTGTGCTGTAAAGCACAACCTTAAGATATAAATGTGCTAAATATTAATAAAGTTGACCTTGACCAGTGTTTGACATTAGGTTCTGTAACAGAAAGTCATTACAGTGAAGTATTTATGCGTTTTATAACTTGGTTCACTGACCTTAACCTGTATAATAAAGGCCAGATGAAGGGAGGGTGAGCAGGTTTCACATGGGCAGTTCTTCTCTCCTCTTGGTGTGTGTGTGTGCGCATGTTTTTATAATAGTGAGTCAAACGTTTGGCCATAGCATCTCTTAGTGTTTTAAAATCAAATATATAATGAAGAAGGGGGACCAGAGGGTGTGTTCCAACTACAGGGAACGACCTCTGGTAAGGAGGGATGCTGCAGAGGAAGGGTACTGGAGAGGAGACACCAGTCAACATGAGCTTTATGGATCTGGAAAACCAACCATGACTCTCGCGGCGTCCAGTGGGTGTCCTGAGTACGGGGTTCAGGGCCCTTTGCTAAGGGTTCACCAATCCTTGTATGACCGGAGTAGGAGCTGTGTTTGCATTGCTGGCAGTAAGTCAGACCTGTCCCCAGTGCATGTTGGACTCTGCCAGGGTAGAGTTCAGCGTTTACATGGACAGAATTGAAGTGCAGTTATTGGACAGTGTCTGGTTTCATGTCCCACTGGGAGGAGGACCCCGGGGAATGTCTTGAGGTCTCACTGGAGGAGCTAGCGGAAGTGTCTGAAGTGGGGGAAGTCTAGGGTTCCCTGCTTAGACTTCTGTTCCCGTGAACTGGCCCCAAATAAGCAGAAGAAAATGGATGGTTGGATATATAATGTGAGATATATGGTATTATGTAGCAAAGAAAAAGTTTTAGATTTTTTCATATTCAAATCCAGCTTTGCAGATTTTATTGTCCCCAGAGTTCATTTGACATGTGGGGCCTGTTGTTCAGGAATAAGATGGCTGAGGGGATTGGGCTTCTGCCAAAGTGGGCCCTCCTGCTCCTAAGCGCCCTGTACCTCCATCCAGAGGAGAGGTGGTCCTGTTCTATGCAGAGTGCAATATGTCCAACGGCCCTCTTGTTCAGCTCTGCAAGGTTGGGTGTGGGGAGTTCTATGATGTTAGCAGCTGAGTGTTACCTTAATATTTATTTACAAAGCTGTACTGGAGAAAATTTTGGGGGATCTTAATATTTCATTAGGCTGTGAAAATTTGCCTTTTCCTATGCAGAGCTATGGTTATGTATTAAAATATTTAGAAAAACTACTACTGTTTAGTTGTTATAAGAGTACAAGTGTTTGATTTAAAGTTAAAGTGCAAAACAAAAAGGAATTCACAGAATTTTGCACTTTAAAGAATAAACCACAAAACTCGGGGGAAACAGGAGAGAAAGTGTCAATTTTTCCAAAAAAAAAAAAAACATTTATTGACAACACTGTTCAGTTGTTCACTTCACACTTCATTGCAGTATTAGTCTTCAGATTATTTAGAATTCTTTTATTCCCAGATAAAGTGTAGATTCATGTCTCCAAGTCTCTCCTCCAGGATTCGGTCCACTCTTTCACTCTGAGCAACAGTGAAGGTGTTCTTCCAGTCTCCAATGCGCCCTGTCAAATAACATTAGCTGTTAATAATTAAATACTTCAGAATATATTTAGATTCTGCTAAATTGACATTGGTTTGTTGTTTTGTTTAACCCACATGTAACATCATGTTGTTTTGTTTAACCCACATGTAACATCAAAAAGTGCATCATTAGAAGCCTGAAGTATGTCATTACTCACCATGTGGGTCATGTGTTACCTTTGCGCATGAAGTCTCCCATAAACAGACTTTTTGGTGCATGTGTATAGTTGGCTTTGGGGTCCTTCTTCATTGCTTCAAATGTTGCTTTTTCAACAACTTTGTCAATGTCTGCATCACTGAGATTTTTACACAAGAACTGGCAGATTTTCACCACTGCTCCTCTTAGGTCCTAAAAAACAAAATGTGCAGCTTCTGCAGTGATGCGGTTGGTGTATCAAGCCCACTTTGACAACTCCATTATTTTGAGCCGGCACACATCGGGTGCTTCTCTCCATTTCTCTCAGTGCAGGAAACTCTTGCTTAACTCACTATAACCTCCCCAAACCAATCCTTTCCGCTGCTTTCACAACCTCGCACTGTGTCTCTTATTTTATCAGTAATCTGCAGATAAAACATTCATTTATAACACAGCAAGAGTTATGTTAAAGCATTTTTAAGAGCCGTGACACGTGGCATTCAGTGTGTGTTGATGTATGGGTTGAAGGAAGTGTGATCCCTACTTACGCCCAGTGTACATTCACTGCAGGTGATGTGCGGTTTGGCTTCCCCATTTTCACCAGTAAATAAAAAATAAAAGCCTCACAGAAAGTCATAATTATGAGTTTTAAACTCAAAATTAGGAGTTTTCCAAGTTGACTGAACCAGTGCTCTCCAAGCAAGCATGGGGGCTGGTGCAAGCATTTTCCTGAAGAAGCAAATGTAAGTAAAAATGTGTAGTTATTTTACTAATTAACTTCACACTGAATCTAAATTATCTGCTATGTGGCCAAATTTTCATCACTGAGTAGTCCAAAGTAGCCTGTGCCAAGTGCCCAGCAAAGTTCATCAATTTCCGGCCAGGACCAGGAGCGCGGGTGCACCGCAGAGCCATAGGTGCTGCATCCCCCATTTGGACCATGGACAGAGTAACATAGATGGACACTTTGCACTCATTCATGTGGGATTTCTGTAGATATCTCTCTTGTTTTTTTACAACATTCACAAGTTAACAAGGAAATGGATCCATGTGGAGATGTCCTACGCACCTGGAGGATGGCCTGTCCAGGAAAATTACCGTGTGCTTCCATAACAAGGGCAGATTCAGAGTCAACTTTAAAACTCATAATTATGACTTTTAAACTCGTAATTATGAGTTTTAAAAGCCACTGGGCACAACTGTGCATCTTGGCCTTGCTTCCAAGAGGTCTGGTGAGTGGGAGAGCCTCAGCGTCCCTGAGCTACATGCAGTCAAACCCACTGTGAGCAGGAGCTTGGATATACATCAATCGGACTAATGTTGGTTGGTTTGTAGGTGTGACCACAGTGGAGTCATATGATACATAATAACAATTTTATTGCCTGGTGCGGACCTCATAATTGAACTAGCGGTGTGAAAGCGCCCTCAGAGTCAAGTGTTGGGCATTAAAATAAATCTACATCAATCACACTCTGACTCTGCTGTGTCCCCGTAAAGTTGAAGGCAAACTGATAACATGAGCCAACATCCTCCTCAGTCCTGGTAAAAGTCTAATTCCCAAATGTGTTGTATATGTGGTGTATCCAATGTGGAGCGCATGTGCGTAAAGATGCAGCCAAACAAAAGCATGTAAAGGTCCATAATCCTCCAAAGTTACTCAAAATCCTCCACCTCTGAGTAAAAGAGTTAAGTTACTCATCAAAACAAGAGCATGTGCTTGTGTGTCTTTGCTCGAGTTCATTTGCATGTGCATTTGTTTTGAATTATATTTAAACAATGATCAGTTTTGATGCTCCTTTAGTTTAGCACCAGTCTTTTGACAGCTGTCCAGCGACTCGTGGCACAGGCGTCACGCCATTAGGTGTGTCTTTGCTAGACCAGTGTAACGCCGAAAGCGACCTGGGTCCATTGTAATGGAACCCCACCCCCCCACCCCCCGTCCTCCATGCTAAATCTAACAAATCAAGATCAGGTCAAATGTAAAGGCACTATTGTAATTCTCTAACATTTCTTACCATTATCATGTCCTCATAGGTCAGGTAGAAGATGTTGTACTGGTCAAAAGCTGAACGCCACACTCGGATGTGATCAAACCAGGATGAAGAAATCACTATGAAGAACAAAAAGCATACACTCACATACATAAATATAATATGCTCAAATGTAAGGTTGGGTTCTGTCATCTGCACATTTTTAGAGTGAATACATTTTGCCGCCACTCATCTAAGTTCTTAGGTTTTGAGGCAGCTCTGGTGTGGAACTGTTTTAAGTATCTCCCTGAAGGGAAGAGCTCAAGACATTGAAACCATAGCATTGTAAACTTCAGGACTAAATTTGGATGGGAGGTGAAACATATTCACTCTTATAGACTTCTGCCCAGTTAACAGACTTTAACCTTGAGTATTTGGGTAGTGACATGCACATCCACAGTATTATTGGACAAATAGCACTGTTGCAAAGGGCATTAAGGGATGCCCCTACAGCTCAGCTACTACATTTGATATGCATGTTTTGTACCATTCAACTAAATGTCACTCACCATTTCCTGTCAAGTACATCTAAAAACTCCTCAAAGCTGATGTTGGGATGTCTGAATTTATAATAAGAGACCATGTTGTCTTTTGGATTCCGCATCACATATATAATCTAGGAAATGGTTACTTGATTATTTACAATTCATGAACAATTTTATCCAAAACAACACTAGCTCTTTGTGATATTTTACCTTTGTTCTTTTGTCCTTTAGCCCTGGAGGCAAGAGACTGGGAATTAGGTGAGAAGAAAATAGACGAGGAGATTGCATTTTTGACATGTTCTCCTTCATCAGGCTTATCTCCATCCATGGCATCTGCATCGCGTTTAAAGTACAACTTTCCTTCACCTCTCCAGTGAGCTCGTAGATGGAGATGATGATCTGCTGGGTCCAGATAGTGCCTGTGGAGATAACTGTGGGATATAAACTGGAAAATAAAAAAAATAAAATAAAAAAAAATCTCTTCGACACCCTCGGCAGATGGTCTCATCCTCATCCAGCTCGGGTCCTCGACCAGAGGCCTGGGAGCTTAAGGGTTCTGCGCAGGTCCTCGTACTGCACTTTTCTGGACTGAGATGCAGTGGCAGCTGGTAAATAGTACACCACACTACGAAAACAAAATAGTTTTTTCCTGTGTCTGAATGTGCTTGAATGAATGTGTGAATGAATTGGTGTTATTGTCATCTGCCAGGGGTTTTCATTGTGTCATATACGTCTTACCTGGATTCTAAATTTTCCCTTCATCACTAGGTTTGGATGTTTCTTTGCCTTTTTACACTGTCAATCACAGATGGGTAGACGTTTTAATATCTGATTCAAATGTATTTAAAATGTAGGTAGGTTAGCATCACATAATTTCACTTTACTTTACAACAGGCCTAATTTCCTATAATTTGCCTATGTATATATATTCTGTTATCTGTGACGTGCATAAATGAATCATAGTGGAGTCATAACAGAATATTTCACATTCTAAGCAAACTGACTTTCACCACCTGTTGAATTGGCTCTGAATCTCGTTTTTCTCCTTGGCCTAGTACAGTCAGCAGTCATATTTTTGTGCCAAAAGTCAAATTTCATCGTTTAAGAGGGTAAGTAAACAAAAGATAGCGCGTCCGCACATCAAAACACGGGACATTTCAGCGCAGATACTGATGTCTGAAATACCAGAAAACAATCAGCTCAATAAAAACCAAGGCCTCTTCATTTAAGGGGTGCTGAGTATCATGATGTTAAGAAAGTGCTGATTTAAGGACAGAACACCACGGTACGATTGGCGCAGCGCTCACGCTTTCACTAACCTGATTTGGGATAAGTGACCAAAAGCACATCATCCTCTTTCATCTCAAAGCTCTGCAGAGATTCAATGTGCTCGGCCGATGTTAAAAGCGGATTGAGATTGTAGCCTTTATATTCGATGAAACCTGCCATGGCGATGGAGAAGAAGCAGAGTTAGTCGAGCTGAACACGTGCGTGTGGCCGCGGGGTTGAAGGTGCGACTGAACAAACTCTGCCCACAAACACTTTTCAAACAGAGCTGCAAATCTGGGCAGTACCTTTGTGTGCTCTGGATGTTATGTCAACTGACCAGTTTTAAAGTTTGAAGATCTAAGAAAAATTGTTAAAAGTATTTTTTTTAGTATGAAACTTCTTCTGCTTGCCTTAATTAGTGTAATCAACTTATAATATGAAAATAGTTCATGTCACATATTTGCAACCAGCCCCTGCGTGTTTATATCACACACATACTGTTTGACCCTGTGATCAAAGTGGAGGTAAAAGGGGTCAGAAATGTCAGACTATTTTTTTCTTTGCAACTGTCAGACATATTTTACCCCGATCACACACACACACACATAAACACACACACACATAAACACCAATCGCACACGCACGCACACTAGAGAAACAAGAGGGGAGGACGAGGAGAGGAGAAGTGAGGGAGGAGAGAGGGAAGAAAAGAGGGAAAGGGAGGAGGAGAGAAGGAGAGAGAGAGAGAGGAGGATAGGATGAGTGAGAGAGAAGAGGGAGTGAGAAAAGGGGAGGAAGGAGAGAAGCTGAAGAGAGAGATGGAGAGAGAAAGAGGGACAGTGCGGGCTAAACCAGTCTAATGACAACAGCAGTGTGGGATAAGGTGAGAACAAATAATTACATTTTGATCACAGTTTCGATTTGTGTCAAACAATCTCCAAACTCATATAATCGAGTTGAAACAAGTTTAACAAAGTTTTTTTTATTTTTTTAAATATATGGATTGTAGAACAGCTGGATATATAGTTTATTTTGGTTATTGGTTATTCTGTTTGACCTCATAAAATCAAAATTGTGCTTTATTAATATATGAGAATTAAAAACAGCCCAAACCTGTGAATGCTGATAGCAGATCCCTTTATTGAAGGTGTTGCCCTGGGATAAGGTGGACATCAGGGAACATTTCTTGCAGGTTGGTGGACGGCGCCTCTCTCCGGTCACATGACAGTCCCTCCTCAGCTCCGCAGACACTTCCTGTAACATAGAGCGAGACTTTTTCATAGAGGTGAGCAGTTTGCGCAAAGAGAAATGAACCACTGTCTTTACAACACAAAAAGAACGACAGAAAACCACACTAAAATTATCTAACCATTTCTGTATGTTGGGGGGTTTAGTCCTGGTTTAGTCTTGAGTTAGTCCTGGTTTTGGGGGCATTATCAGTATTTACAACATGGTAATAATAACACAATATTAAATTTTACTTCTTTAGTTTGCCACACTATTTACATGTTATATACAAAGGATACGTCCAACTTAGGTGGGAGGTCGTCTCTGACTCCCAGATCTTCTCCTTTTTCTTCAAACAAACACAGAGACACAAAGAGTCGCTTGTTAAAAATGAAAGAATACTTGTGTTTTTCAGCTGGAATTGGCCTCTGCGCTTAACTTACCTTTTCCCATCTCTCCTGTCCAGCCCGCGCTCCTGCAGCTCGACCTCCATCTGCTCCACCTTAGGTCCAGGTGATGGCTCAGGGACCTGTGGAGAAGAGGAGGCAAGTTTAGTAACTTTAGCAGGACGAGCGCGCTGAGGTGAAGAGCGCCGCTTCCGATCCTGACGAGCGTAACGAGGAGCCATGAAGCCGGAGAGCATGGAGTCAGGGAGAGGAATGATCCGGAGGCCACTGACAGGAGGAGGACGAGGGGTAGACGAGGAGAGTGTAGGACGAGCAGACGAGGCGTCGGACGAGCGGACGAGGAGGGCGTCGGACGAGCGGACGAGGAGGGCGTCGGACGAGCGGACAAGAGCGTCGGACGAGGAGCAGACGAAGAGGGCGTCGGACGAGAAGCTGAGGAGGACGTAGGACGAGCAGTCGTGGAGGGAGTAGGATGAGCACACAAGAGCGTAGGACGAGGAGCCGCTGAATGAGCCGCAGAATGAGGCATAGCCAAGGAGGACGTAGGACGAGGAGCAAAGAGGACCTCAGCAGGAGGAAGAGGAAGGAGCTTCGCAGAGGACCTTAAAGACGGAGGGAGGGGCTGAGCAGGAGAGGAAGGCTCCGCACAAGGACGAGAAGGGAAGAGCGTGGGAAGAGCAGGAGGGAGGGGGTCCACAGGAGGACCAGAGGAGGACTCCGCACGAGGAGGAGGGAACAGCCTGGCAAGAGCAGGAGGGAGGGGTGTAGAAGGAGGTGCATCAGGAGACGAGGAGCACATCTTAGGAAGCTTGGCAGGAGCAGAGGTGAACTCAGAAGAAGAGGAGCGCTTCAGGGGGAGCCTAGAAGGGGAGGCCATAGCTACAGCGGCAGAGTGCGCTTGTGAGAGTGTGTGAGTGTGTCAGTGTGTGTGAGTGTGTGAGTGTTTATGTGTGAGTGTGTGTGTAAACTTAGGGTCAGAGACGGGGTCCTGTGGGAGTCTAGACGCCTGAAGGAACACTGGGCCAAGTATCACACAGATCTGTGGAGAAGAACACAATGTGTTACACGCCACTGCTAACATGCCAACAGCTAGCATACAGTTCAGCACCATGAAGTATCCATGTACTGTACATGGAAGTACCCATGTACTGTACATGGCTGTACATGTGCTGTGCCTTTGGGCAATGCTCGCAGCTTCTGCCAAGTCACGCCTTAACCTGGCAACAAACTCACAGTGGTCAAAGACAGAATTGTTATGGAGCACATGTTGGAAAACTACATCTACAGGAAGACACGGGATACGCCCGAACATAAGATAAAATGGCGCAAACCCTGTGGTCTCGTGCTCGGTGCAGTTGTAACAAAACGTCAGAGTCTGTAACATTTGTGGCCACCTAGCTTTGGAGTTCGGGGGTAAGGCACGAATCATGTTTCCAAGGGTCCTATTGTAACGTTCTGCGATACCATTACCCATAGGGTGGTATGGTGTTGTGTGCGACTTCTGGATCCCAGCCATGTTCAAAACCTCTTTTATGAGTTGACTCTCGAAATTTGCACCCTGATCAGAGTGAATTCTCTTTGGGAAGCCGTAAATGCAGAAAAAGTCGTTCAAAAGACGACAAGAAACTTGTTTTGCAGACTGGTTTTTGCAAGGGAAAGCATGTGACAGTTTAGAAAAATGGTCAGTGACAACTAGTGCAACGACACACTTTTTGTCTGTTTGTTCAGCGGTCCAAAAATCGATGCAAACTAGTTCCATCAGCTCTCAAGTGTGAATACTCTCAAGAGGGGCACGGTCATTGGGCTCAGGGGTTTTACCAACCAAGCATCTGAAACAGTTCTTAACATGATTGACAACAGCCCTTTCCATTCCAATCCAGAAGAATCTTTGTCTGGCCAGGGTGAAAGTACGGGCCTGACCTTGATGACCGGCAGAATCATGGAAGCCATTCAGCACTTGTGTTTTTAAAGAGTCCGGTACAAGAAATTAGTTTATTGTCCTGTTCATTTTCATGTCCTTCTTTGTCCTGTACAGCATGCCATCTTTGAGCAAAAGTTTGGGCCTTTGCTTGAGTAACTTTCTCACTCGTTCACGCGTTCACTTTTTGTGGGCTTTTTGTGTCGTTGGACATAGTAGAAAACTCTGTTCAAAATCTTGCTCCTGCATGTTGGCAAGCTGGCTCTTGGGCAAGGAAGCATGATGGTCTACACCAGTGAGTTGAGAAATGTCTGAACAAGTGCCTCTGATTTGATTGATACCGTCATTGTGAGCGCTCAACACAGCTTGGACATCCTCAAAGGAAAGAGACATTTGTGGGGAAGGCGAATTCTCAGCATTCTCCAATGGACTAGACACTAACTGACAGTTGTTAGTACACCTGAACGCATCCTGAACATTCCTGTCAGCAACTTCACTGAGGCCCTCACTGGGGTCCTCAAGTAGTGTTGTGACTGGACACGTTTCATGTCCTGCACTAAACAGTGACAAAGGGTGCGCATCTTTAACAGTGTCTCTGGCAATGTCCTTGTGAGCTCAGCAGCAGTGCATGCCTGAAGTCCACTGCAGTTTTCAGTGAAACAGACTGTCGGTTTTTGAAAGTCTCTGTATGCTCTGCACAATCAAAGTTTTATCAGAAGGCACAGAACTGCTGTAAGTGTTATAGAGGGACTCGTAATAAATGTCCATATCAAGGGTGGGAGGCACACTAACCTGATCTGCGCTGTCCTCCCTGCACGCAAATCACTCAGTTTCCCTGCTGTTCAGAAAGGGTGGGATGCTCATTTTGAGGACAGTCACGTGACCACAGTGACCAGGTAAGTGGCAGAAGAAACACAGGTTATTCTCACAGCAGTGGGTCAGGGCAGAATGGGAGCTGTCATTGCAAACCAGACACGGAGCACTGGTGAAACCCTTGACTTTTGCAGGCCTTCGACTGATGAGCGGTTTTCTGTTGGACTGAGCAGAGGGCTGGTTCTGTAACAGGACTTTTTCTAGCATCGTTATCAACTTTTCCAGAATTATCAGACACGTTTGTGGCATGAGAGGTCTCAGGGGCAAGCTCAACTTTATTTACCACGACTCTATTATTCCCACTGCAAAATCTCAGTCCTTTCTCAAGGTGGTACTCATCCAACACTTCCTGGACTTCACGAGCTGACCACTTGTCAATAGTTTTGGATTTAAAGGTAAGAGCTAAATCTTTGCTGGGGCAGTGCCTAATGAACATGCGAGTGACTTCTACACTTGGGTTATCAAATGTCTTACCCTGCTCTTTAAGACAGTTCACAGCATTGTCTGCAGCTCTATTCAACCTTAGCCAAAACTCATAAGGATCTTCATTTACATTTGGGAGTGTGGAGTAAAAGTCAGCGAGTGGCACAGAGGAACAAAGGCTGGCACTGAAATGTTTACGCAGGAGACTGTATATCGCACTAGGATTGTCCTTAACATTGATGTCACCATTCCTTTTTCCAAACTTAACAATATCTTTTGCCCTGCCTCTCAGGTGAATGAGAATCTCCTCTGCCTGGTTCTCTAGTGGGACACCATTTTTACAGATGAAGTTTCTCATTAACTCTTCCCACTCA